AAGTATTTGAGAACAAAGTCATCAATCCAGCTAGAGTAAAGAGTAAGTCCCCACGATCGATATATTTATTGATTGGCGACTTCTGTGACTGATTGTTCAGAACGCAGTCGGCGACAAACCAGACGACAGGGAAAAGGCGAGAAAGAGAGATCGACATCCTCGGGATCGTCCAAGTAGTCGGAACGCTAGATGAACATGTAATGAAGAATAATTAAGCATGCAAGCAATAAATATTCTTCTTTAGCAAAATGTTTCCTTTTTTCACGTAAAGAAGCAGCTTTGACATGTGCATTTCAGCTGATTTTCGGGCTATAGTGAGCGTAAAGGGGCTTGCAGACTTTTGCCTCGGCGGCAGTCGCCCCTTCATAAAGGCAGTGTGTCACCTCGCTCTCGTGTCTGAGCTTTTACCATGTTCTGAATCTCCTCCCTCGCTGTATCCAACGGTATACCTAAAATGTTACAAGAAGGTCTTTAAACCCTATTTTCAAACGTTTTTCGGGACGGGATTTGTAACAGTTTGTCGAGTCGAGTGGACGCGCGAAGCCGTTGATCTTATCGACCGGACACGTCTAGACATGTTGGCCAACGTTGCAGACGTGGCGGATGGCCAGCACATCCACGGACCGCTCCGCCCGAGTGGTCCGTGAACTGCACTTTCGGACCCTCCGAAAACGGGGTTTATGTTGTTTTTATGAGCTTTGACGTACATCTTTGGAAATAGCGTAACGAGGAGGTCTAGGTTCTGTTGGTATTTTCAACCTACGAGTCGAGGTGACACACTGCCTTTAAGCACAGTGCGGCGATGTCGCAGCGGCGTCGCCGCGGCATGGACCTGGCGGCAAAAGCTTGCACACTTTTTTGCCGCGGCGCTGCCCGGCGACGTCGCCCAGCGACAAGCAGCAAGGAATAGTGGAGGGGGTATTTTGTCGCTGGGTGTCGTTTGCCGCCGCCGAATCAGCAAATGATTGTTTTGGTGCTTACGTCGTTTTTACTTCAGCCTTATTGTTTTTTAAGTTTCTATTATTTAGGTAATGCGTTATATTTATTTGTACCATGCCCCTTATGTGTCATGGACCTTTTTTATGCTCTGATTCCGTCATTTTTCTAAAGAAGTTCTAAACAGGAGGATTATGAAGAAGCTGAAGAGTCCAAGTGGTCGAGAACACCCGTGCCGCATGCTCGCTACAGTATGCAAGAGCGGCATGCCGCCCGGCGGCAACTTTGCCGCGCACCCATTTTTGCCGCGGCGGCGTCTCTGCCGCGGCGGCAAAAGTATGCAAACCCCTTAAGAAGGCTACAAAACGATCCTGGACAGAATTTAGCAAAAAAAAAAGAATGCAGAGGAGAGAACAAAACATAGTTAAGGTTCTCCTGGAGAAGCTTATGGATGTTTCATTGCAACGTCTGCAGCGTTTACTAGAAGGTGATTTCGTGATAGGACCCTAAAAATGAGGCGTCGAAAATGTGAGAGGGAATCGCTTTTAATGACTTATTTTCATGGAGCTTTCATTGAGATGTAATAGTCTTGATTTTTTAGTTTTCCATGTACTGTCCTATCAGGCCATAATTGCTGATGTTGTACTGCATGCTGGCCACGGAAATCGCTTCTTTGTCATTTCGATCACGCTACTTGCTCCTCCTTGAGGAGGTGGGCCAAGACCAGCAGCAGTGCAACGCTGGGCCGACCCGCGGATGATGTGCGAGCAAGGCCGCCACCCCATCCGGTCAAAAAAAAATCAAATAATCTTAACGAGATTCATTCGAATCTCTATCGAGTGTTGATTCAATAAGAACAGGAACTAAACTTTGATCCTAGCCAAAAGGCAGAGAAGCGATGGTGTTCCCACCTCTGATCAGAACCACTGCGCCGGTAGCCGGGCACACAAGTATACCAGTCAGCGTTCTATGTATCTTCTCAAACAAACTTGCTACCACTTTACCGACCCCGGATAGATGCAATGCTTGGTTCTAGGCTGGGACCGAACCATCAACTGTGTGGGCAGTATTGCCGCCTCTTGGCGCTAATCAGTGTTCAATTTGTATCGTTTTTATGGAATACAATGTTCGAACAGATCGAAGGACTCATCATATTTATTGGATGTGCAAAAGCTGTCACTATGCTAGCGGGTGGAGGCGTGATCCTTTCTGAATTCCTGAAAGTAGTAATTTCTGGTTAACCGCCTCTTCGCACAATTTGAACGTCTTCGAGCATTGAGACCCTACCTATTAAATATGTATCAATTAAGAACCATTATACCTACCTATTTCGGCTGTGCCTTTTTGTAAATGACCTCGCCTTCTTTGATTTTTCTAGAACTCATCAATTTTGCATTCGATCATACCATCCAGTGAGTTAC